CATACCTTGGCTCCCCTGTCCAAAGCCACTCTGTAGGGGTATGATCTGTGTCTCAGTGGCACCACAGTAACATCAAAGAGGAATAGGAGAGAAACAGTGGTGGACAGTAAAAATGTGCTGCAAGGAAGTAGGGCTAACAAAGAAAATCTCTGATATTAATTAGGCACTGCCTGAACTCGTGCTGGCATTGTTTCTGATTTCCACCAGGATAAACATTGGAACAGGTTAAAATGGAAAAAGCCAAATCTATGGATCATTGTTTTTGAGACCAATTGATAAGAAGCGCAGTAATCATTCAGGAAAGGGCAGTTTTCATAAGGACAATGATGGGGGAAAACAAGGAGTCATGACTTTGCCAAAATGTTATCCCCTGGATCAACTCTAGGAAGTTGGCTCTGAGCCTAAGGAGGGAACCTTCCCATCACATCCCATGGCAAGCACGTCTCACTTTCCTTCCCACCATCCACTAAGGGTCACAGGACAGAAGGATCTGTGCTACAGGCCTTAAGCTGAACCCAAATGTGAAGAACTTGAGTTCAAGTACTATCAGCTGCTCAAAATTCTCCTCTTTCCAAAGGAGCTGCACCAAAGGACTCATGCTCCCTTTTGTTTGGTGCATGCAGCTCCTGTGGCTGAGGGTAAATCTCGCTGTCCTCACTGCCTTGTGTTTCTGCCCATCTATTATTCAGATCCCAAAGTCCAAACACCCAAAGGAAAATTGTAGTCAAGTGTCCAAATCTAGCACCAAAGCTCTGGAGAAATTCCTAACTGCGTAGATTTGCAGAGCAGGATGCACAAAACTGCCCGTCTCAGCAACAGTTCAAGTGAAGTCACCATTGAACTCCAAGTCAGTATTTTAGGACTGGCAAGTAGATGGCAGTTCTGCCAGCTTATGCTCTTATTGCACGTTGTTCTCACCTTTGAGCAACTGGTTTGCTTTCATATTGCTGTGGATACTGAATTAGGGATTGTAAGAGAATTTCAATGTCAGCCTCATTTTTTTGAATTTAGAGAAAGGTTTGCATGATCAGACAGCATGAAGAAAGCAATCCATGCCCTTGAAAAGCCTCATCAGGTGGTCTCCCACTCTGGGGGGGGGAAAGAAGAGAGGTAGGACTTAAATATGACTTCTCAACTCATAGGCTGCCAACTGTGGAAATACCAAAACTTACCATTTGCCAGCACAGACCGAGAACATGTAGTGAGAAAGCTCTTCTGGAAGGGAGGGCCTGCAGGCTGGTGGCTCCAAGTACCTCCAACACCTGAGCACAACTGGCTTGGCTGTGGTCCCCACCATGCCAGCTGGGTGGAGGAGGGTCTCTGTATGTCAGAAAGTATCTGAAATTTTACTTCCTTTTTCCCCTCCAAAGGTACTAGCCGAGGGCCTGCAGCAACCATGATGATGTCAGTCTAAGACAGGGAGATGAAATCTCATCAACAAATGGTGTGACATGAAAACTCAGGTGTGCCTGTGCTGCTGATCTTACCCAAATCTTGAGAACAGGCTAATGACAAAGATGTTCACAGAGCTAGGAAGAAAACCACAGCTTTATTAAGTGATCCAGTTGATGAAATTGAGGTTGAAACCATCATCAGGGAGTCATTAACAGCATGTTTGAGATCATAATGTTGTTTTGAAGGAACAACCAAAACATCTTTGTTACTGGACAGCTAGAAATGCATCTGATTCAAGGAAAGTCACCTGCCACAGCAGGGCTGAACATCCCACTGCTGAGGAGGGCAGTGGCATCTGCTGAAGTTTAACAAAAAAGCCTGAGACAGTCCTAGCAGAAGTGGGTAAATCTCAGTTAATTCCTGTTTACAAAGAAAATGCAGAAACACCCTATTATCTACATCAAATCAAGGTGCCAAGTCCTTTGAAAAGAAACTTGCACGCTCTAATCTCACAGGAGCCGCGAGCAAGCTCTGGCTCACACCAACTTGTCTTTCCAACAGGCTGTGCTGAAGCAAGCTTTCTTAGAAAACCTGACTGCAGGTGGCATAGCCCCAATCCTCCCCACTGCCTCTCCCCTACCCACAGGGCAGAATAAACTCCCCCCCCTCTCCTTCCCAAACTACACAACTGCAATGTTGAACTGTAGCTGCAAAATGTTGACTGATGGGATCCTTGGGTTTGGTAAACCTGCCAGGTCCACTGACCTACAGCCTAGACCTCTCCTGCCTCAAGGGGACTGTCCCTGTGAAACAGGTAAATTGCAGGTGTGTGCTTTAGAGGGAACATAAGCAGAAGCCTAGCAGGAGTTGCTAGACTCCTCATCTCTTATTACACAGCTTTCAGCCTCTCAACACTCCCAGCAGAAGCAATTAATTTCTGGGACAAACAGAGCTATCCCTCTCCACAGATGTTTCCTCTTAGTTCTACTGGACTTGAGTCAATGAAAACGTGGCAGTATCTGCACAGCAACACGTGGAACTTTCCACCAGCCCAGATGGGAACAGGAGCATTCTCAGTTGAAGTCTCTTTTAAAAAATCTGCTATTTTGTTTGGAATAGAAGGGAGGGGTTAATGGGAGCTAAGAAAACAGAAATGGGCAGTATAGCCTTTAACATGCCTGAGAACCATAGTCTTAAAGATTTCTTGGCAGATATTGTATCAACTGGGAGAGCTGTAGGACCTTTTACCCCCTGTCAGAGCTTTGTTTATCCATTTGGACATGAGCTGGTTGCAGCAAACCTCCAGGGGCAGCTGAGACCAACTAGCAGCTCTATAATACTTTTGGCCAGGCTTATTATTTGTATCTCAGGGGTTGAAGCAGAACCAGTCTGAACTGGGGTCACACTCCATCCTGCTGCTTTTCCATGTCAACAGATGGGAAGCAATGAGTGTAGAACAAACAGGACCCCTTTAAGACCCCCAATTCATTCTGTGCCTGCCTACCCAGCTACAGAACACCTGAGGGAGGATGCACATAGTTAGGGGTGGCACTGCAGATAGTTGCACCACCTTAATACACAGTGTTGATCTGAGGAAGTGCTTGGCACCAAGTATTTTGTGACCAAGGTAGCCATTTTTGTACACACAGCACACAGCCTGGATCCCAGAGGGCTAAATATTTGCTATCCTTATTAAGAAGTGGAGAGCTAATGCACATGTATTCACCTCCACAGAGGTGTCAGTTAACACACTTGAAACACAGTGAGGTTTCTCCCACCACCACCTCTAGCTCTCATAAAAATAAATTTAAAATTAAAAGGATCTGGAAAGGAGACTAGAAGCAAATGATGTAACTTGCATAATGCTTGGAGATCCTTCAGATGGAAGGCTATATAGAAATACACTATTCATACATGTTACAAAATTCACCGCGAGTGTAACTCAGGGCAGCCTTTTGGTGTCCAACCACAAATCTGTAATAAAACAGGCAACAGCTGCTCAGAGAATGGCTGAGGTTCAAGACTTGCAATCTCATTTAGATTAACCATTTTCTGAAACATTAAACAATATACAATCAAACAAAAACTGTCTGTGCTAAGTCTAAGGTACTGCAAAAGTTTTTTCTCCTTTCCGTTTTCTTTTTTTTCTATATTTTTACAAATAGCTTTGCATGGCAAGGAATGAATCACAGCTACTGTAAAGCTGATGTTAGGTTAGTGTTTGGATCACACAGAATAACTCTCCGGAAGTGCTTAAAGATGGTATATGTACTCATTATCACTTCTTGGCTCTATTAGTATGTAGAACCATCACAACCTACCTAATCCATTACTTAAGGTACTGAAAAAATCCCAACTCTTCAAAATACAAATCTGGGGCATATTTTGAGGGACTTTTTTTTTTTAATTTTTTAACCCCCCTGCTTGTTATAGCAGTGACTACACATATCTGAAGTACACAGTGTTGCAGTCACCTTGAATGATTTTGTGCGCGAGCTCTAGGAAAAGGGCTGAAGAGATTTGGGGACCTTAAGTACTCCATATATTTCAGTATGATCATGATTATTAGTTTGAGCTGTAGTATATTCTGTCCGGTATCTACAGCTCTCCTCAGCAAAAGCCTTCCCCTTTTCCCCACCAAACATGTTACAGTCAAGAGAATGATCCTAATCAGATATTATGAAATTAAAACAGTAAATTCAGAAAACATTGCTTAAGTAAGAGCTAAATGTCTCCTGGATTATTGTAGCACTTTCGCCATAATGTTTATTTAAAATGATCCTCCTAACACTTACAGCTGAAATATCAACTTCTTAAAAATCTACTTCTTCCTTTGACTTCTTCCTATCCTGCTAAATAAATGGCTCTTACTCTCTGCTGGGTCAACCAATTGATGTAGGGAGGGAAGCCACTGCTTTAAACACCTGGTGATACAGCTCGATTGCATGTCTTATCTAGCATCTTCTGTCTTTTCCTGTGAAGGATCATTACTGACAGACACTGTGGTTTTCCATCTGAATTATCTAATTCTTAAAAATTAAATTCTTTTCCCTTCTACCTTAGCTGTGCCCCTTCTCCTTAGCCACCACGAGAAGTTGTGGTTAGGTTACTATTGTACCTGTTGGCAAAAGGGATACGTAGAGCTCTAGTGAGAAAAGAAATCTTGGCTTAAAATAAGAACTGGAAACTGGGGACTGTGTTGCATTTATAGTAAAATCTAATCACATTTTATTCAAAGAATAGTAAGAAAATTTGAAGGAAGACATCCATCGAGTGTTGTTCTCATTTGTGTTGCTCTGAGGACAATCCCATATATGCTCTAGCACACAGCAGCTGGTTACAGCAGTGGAACACATGCAACTTATACCAGTTACTCTTGAAAACAGACACAAGCACTTCCCACACAACTGCATCAATTGCTGCTGGTGTGCTTCATAGGTGCTGACATGGAAAACATCTCAAATTTGCTTATTCACATTTAACTGAGGCTTTCTTTATGCTTACCAACACTTAAAATGCCTCTTAGCCAGAAGGATAACTGTACTGAAACAAAAAGACCCCACCACGCTTCTTTTATATACAAAATGACAAGATTGTGCAATCAATTAAAAACAGTTTTGAACGTTTAATAAAAACTCATCCTAGAAAACCAACTTTTGGTCTTGAGGTCCCCAAATTCTCTTCTTCATCCAGGACCTTCTGAAGGGCTATGTGCAATGACTTGCCTACTCTTTGTCCCGTCTGCAATGGAAAGAAAGCAAAACAAATCTGAGACATATGCTTGTTACAGGAAGGCAACTCTTATGGAACACTTCCTTTTGACAAATATTTTCCCTCAGATGATTCATATACACCAGCTGGTATCATAAAAATATGCTTTTAATTAAGAAGAATAATGGTGGTGGAAGTTTCATTTTAATCTGATTAAGTTTTGGAAAAATGTACACATAAAGGCAGTGCTCTCATTCATCAGAGAAGCATTCCATGATCATTAATACCAGAGCTGTGCACCACTGGACCACTCAGGAATACAAATTAAATTCACATCAGCCAGAAGCACACATTCAAATTAGCCAGCACACACAGCATGAAGCCATATGCTAGCTGCCAGAGGACAGGAGATAGCTGACCAGCAAAGCAGACTGCTAATAGAAAGTTCAGTAAACTCCTCTGAATGTGTTCAGAATCAGCAGAATTAATTTAGACCAGGTCAACACCCTGTCCTGTAGCCCGAGAAGCCCAAAACGCACACTGGCTGCATCACCAAATCCGTCTGTCGGCAGACCCTTTGTATGATGCCCAATTCTGCACTGCCCAAGGACCTTCTTAAAGAAGTTGTTTACTTTACAGAAATAAATTCCAGCAGTGGAAAACCACCAGGATTAGCTCTGATACCAACCTCTACTCTTTGCACATGCGCAATTGTACTTTGGGAGCTACAGGACAGGGAAACACTGGGCAATGCTGAAATAAAGACCTTAAGGCAGTGGTGCCCATTACAGCTTTCCCAGGGTTTCTCTAAATGACCTGAAATACCAACTCCATACAGAGATGAAGAGAGACCACACGTCCCTAAAGAGCCAAAGGCAGATTATATTAAAATTAATTTATTAGCTCCTGGTCTATGCAGTGAAGCCTATGCCAGCCACAGAGCTGACCACAAAGCAGTCTTTCCCCCGTTGGTGACAATTGCTGAAACCATAGGTGTAGAGACCTTAAAATAAGATACATTTCTAATTGAAAAAAACATGTGACAGAACATGGCCTGTAGTACCAAAAGAAATTTGGGAAGAGCTTTGATGCAGCAGGATAGTTACCAATTTTACACACCATGAGTCATGTTAAATAAAGGGGGGCACAACACAAAAACTGCTACAGCTCTGCACTGGGACAAAGATCACAGCAGCAGTCCAGAGTCCTGAGAGATGGTGGACTTTCTGGTCCTTCTCCTCAAATGTAGGACAACATCACTCACACCAGGTCAAAGTGAATGGGAACTGTGCAGAGCTTTGATATTGACAAGACACTGTTGCCATCTGACTCCTGCTTGCCCCTAATGGAAGCCTAATGCTTGGCGACTGCCTAAAACTTTCACATGAAACTCCCTTCATAAGAGATAGGTCCTAGAATGTCTGTTCTCCACCAATCAGAGAAAGCTGAACATTCTCTGACTTGCAGACAAATCATTAGGGAACAAAGGTGTCAAACATGGGTTATGCAGCTCCTCTACTGGACATTCCAGGCCTTTATGTTTTTCTTGGTATCCTAATCAGGCTGCTGAGTTTAAGGCAGCGCCATACAGATAATCTCTGACCTCCCATAAAACATCTTGGTTTCTTTTAATCAGCTTTATCTCTCATTCCTTCAAACTGCTCAACACCCAATAGGGAAGACTTCTTCCAAAGGAAGTGAGAGATGGCACAAGTCACTGGGTGATCAGCTTAAGCTTTTAACCCTTTGCACCAGCAGGTAGGGACAAGTTCACCAATGCTCTCAGTGGAGTAGGATGGTTTGAAGATTTCCCATGGTTACCTTCCACATGCATCTTTGAGCAGTGAACATTACATAACCCCAAGCATAGCCTTTGGCTCCTACAGTGGAGCTGCAGAAGTTCACTTCCTATTTAGGGCTCAATGCAGAGTGAACTAGTGATCAAAATAGAGGCTCCAATCAAAGCCTGGTGCAGATAATTTGCTTAGAGGCTAGCTTCTCCAGGAATCTGTATCTGACTTAAGCACCAATCGCTTTAACAGCCCTAGACTCAAAACTTCAAGTGTTTTATAACATTTAGTTAGCATTGGATTCAAAAATCCATCAAGGAAGACACACCAGATGCTCACAGGAAGTTTGGCTTCTTTAGGATGCCAGATTAGACATAACACCTCTCTACCCAGATAAGGGGATAAGTGACATCTCTGAACACAAGTAAAAAGCCCACTGGTACCACAAGGATTACCACTCTAGATTGACCATGACACAGTCAAGTTCCACATACTCAGGCTGTAATTCCCACTTGAGACCAACTGTTGCCAAACTTGGCTCCAACTTCTGCATTCCTCACTAAAGACATGCTGAAATCAGTCCTGTATCTCTAGGAAACTGAGTCAGCTTGATGTAGTTTTCATTCTGACTTCCAAGATCAAAACTTATTTCTGTCTCATGCTGAAGGTCGAACCCAGGCATGAGAATTTACACTGGGCAACAGATTCAAGAGCCTGAAGAAAGACCTAAAATGGAATTCTTATGTGGATGTGAACAAAACCCAGATACTAGTATTTTTATGGAGTAGGGGCAGATCAGAAACTCAATAAAGAAGCAAAGAAAAACAACAGTAAAATGAGAACAGTAAGCTTATCATAAAACAAATGAGTTGTGCTAGAAGAGAACAACATGCACAGCAATTCAAAACACTATCTCTATTTTTATAGGGACTTTACCATGAAGTTTTGCTCTTTCAGTCTTTAAAACAAACAATAAGAGAGGTAATATGTTCTTCAAAAATAATCTCAAAGTTTATCAACTTAAGCTTTACTTACAGCAATAAAGCACTTGACTGAAACAAATATGAATATCATACATTTCAGGCATCTACAAGTTTTAGATAGCATCCATTCACATTAGATTCTGTTTCAAGGGAACTGTCTGTGACCTTCACCAAGTCCCATGTGCACCTAATCAAAGAACCAAGATCTCTGCTCTAGAAGTTCTTACTGCAGCTTTCCATATACCCAAGTTCCAGTTCATCCACTATCATCCAAGACAGTTAACTGTTCAAAAATCCTTACCTCCATCATTTCAAAAATGCTCTCAGGATCCAGGCTACCTTTTCCCACTTTCTTCATAGAAGTGAGGGCACCTTTACTGGTCACAGAAATAAGAAGGCCTGCCAAAGAACAGGCTTCCTCCTGAAGGGTAGCATCTACCACATGTCTATATCCAATCTGAAAGTCAGTGACAAAATAATGTATTAGTCTGTAGTCTTCTAAGCTCTTCCATCAAGAAGTTAAACTGAGTGGTAGCTTTGCTAGTTATCTACAGCCTGCCATCCTAATATCATGTGGCCTTTGAAAGTGATGAGAGACTGACTTGATAGCACAGTATTTAAACAGCCTTTGACCCCAAATCGTGTGTACACACACAACATAGATGAGACAAGACTCTTTCATATTGTTTTCCCCTCTACCATCCTTTCATCTATATGAAACTCCGTATTCTCCTTTCCCCCCAACTCCAAGCATGGACTTTACTCCCCTCCAGGTGAAAATTACACATCCTGAGACTCAGGTGAGCCCTCACTTCAGTAATGGCCTCTACTTTTTATGCAACTTACTTAAAAGAAATGCCAAACAAACTTTCAGGTAACTATGCAAATCATTAACAACTGCAGTGAAAAATACAGCATCCATAAAATCAACTGTGTTTGCTGTGTGCTATATATGGAAAACAAAAACCTGTTTGAAAGGAAAGGGACAGCATTGCACCCATGAAAGTGGAGTTCTGTCCCCAGATACTTGTCACTTAGCTCCAGGCAGATCACACAACCTCTGCACCTCACAATAATGGCCACTTGTTTTAAATATACTGAAGTATCTGCTGCTCTGGAAGTTAAGCAAGGAGTAGATAAAAATAATAAACAACTCTTCTGCATACAAGAAGATGCATTTTAAGAATACATCAAGTAGAAACCTACAGGTCAGAGGTGCAAAAACCCCCTTATTCAGTAAAATTCTTCTTAATTAGGAAGCCAAAGACAAACAAATATATACATAGTGGACACTGACCATTTCTGTAACACAAATTTTACCTCTAAGGAAAATATAAACAGCAAGTGAAATTAACAGAAACTGAAGTGTCTAGGTAGAAGGTCAGAAATTTGTCAGGCTTACTTTGCTTAGTGTGACAATACAGGGCACCTCATCTACATTAAGTCGAATACAATCATAAGGATCATCAGACAGCTCTATCTCTTTGGAGCCCTCTTCATCCTCCAGAACATGCACTTTGGGTATTCTGTGGAAACAATATGTGCAAAATCATTGCCAGAACAGGTAACAAATATACTTGTTATACAGTCACAACTCCAGGAAGTACCTTTTTCTCTAAATGAGGCAAAATGTTTAGGAAAAAAGTCCATAATGTGATCAAAATATTAACAACTCATTGCCTGAGACTAGGCAAGCATTGTAAGTGGGAAGCTATTTAGGAAAAGATCATCATATTTACATCACTCAAATTTTTAGAATCTGAGTTGGTTTTTACACTATTATATGGGGAGATTCTTTTGGAATTTGCACCAATCAGTTCTGAACAACTCTTTGTACATCTGCCTGGGTGTACAGGACAGAAATTGCCAAGACTGAATCCTTTAGTACTGTGGTTCCCAACCTTGCAGACAACAGTAAAGTTGTCAGAATTACAGCAATTGCATTGCTTGGCAAAGCTGTGACATCCATAGCAAATAGAAGTAGTAAAGCTGTTCAGGAAAGAACAACTCTAACTAAGGAGACTTGGGGTGAAGAGAAAAGATTACATTAGTAAAATCCTTTCTCTTTAGCAAAATGGGAAGATTGGCAAGATATTCTTGTTCTTTAAGGAGCCAGAAGACTCTATTGTTCTAAGGATAGATATACAAGGGATATAAGGACAGAGCAGGCATAAAACCCAGGCAGCAATCTAAGAAATGCTTTCCTCTCAGCTGTGAATGATCAGCTCTCTCACAAATGAGCTAGACAGGCTCCTTATACAATTTAGTAGAAGATGGTATCTCAAGCCACCGAGAACATCAGCATCTTATATACCCTTATTTACCCAGATGCCCACTAGGATGGAGTACTGACTGAGAGGCTTTGCATTAATGGCTAGTAAAACCCACACAGAACTCAACCATACTACCGCATTTGCACTTGAAAACAACATATTTCAAGACATGCCTAGACAGCTAACTTCAGTAACCACGATCTGTTTTTATATTACTACTTCTACAGTAGTGTTGTGTTTTATAACAAGACTCTGGAGGTTACATTCTTTTATGCCATCTGTAACAAATCTCTTCTTTTAAAAGCAGAGGAGGAGATAGGGACTGATTTAATGAACATTTCCCCCACCAACACAAAGTGATTTTTATTGATTCCTGGAAGAGTATTTTAGTTATCTGTGGCTAAGAGTCCTAGCAGCAAGTACTTCACAACAGCTAACCCTGCTCCAGTGACAACAAACTCCCCACATGCACACTGGCCTGAGCCAAGCCAAAGCTCAGACTGAGTAAGTGGAACAATTGTGATGTGTACTTTCTCCTGAAACGAAACTCAAAATGCTTTGCAGCTCATTAGAGATGCATCAAACCCTATTTTTAAGTTTAAAATATTCCATTAAAAGTTGATAGAGTAAACTCACAAGGTGACTAATCCTCAAACTCCCCAGGAGAATGGACAACACTGGACAACAGCCTAGTCAAGAAGTGTATGTGCCAGAGCAGTGTTCAAAAAACAAAGCAAGATTTCAGGAAAATCTGTGAGATTAAGCAATTTTTAACTCCATCCTAAAATAGCCATGAAACTAGAGCAACGTTTGGTCTGCAGGAAAAAGATGCCAGAATCAATACCTGAAAAATGCCTGCAAGGAGCTTTTTTGGCCAAGAACAGAGGAGAGAGGTGTAAATTACAACTGCTGCAAAGGCAAAAAGATCAGACACAAGGATCATAATTGCATAAAAGGGGCATATAGACACAAGAATTAGGCAAAGAGAATGTAGCACAAAGAACTTCCAGAACACCGGAGATTTCCTCTCACAGCTTGTGAAGTTTCATGTCTAGTACTAACTGTACATGCTTCCTTCGCAACTTTTATTTTTCTGTTTTGATTCCTGCAGCTAATCAGGGCAGAACTCTATACAGCAAGATTCAATCATGCAACAAACAATGCTCTTTTCTGTGTGCTTCAGTTCCAGATTTCACAACTGCAAAACCAGTTCCACTCTTGCAAGCAGGCATCAGTTCTGCCTCTGCCATGCCACCCAGCAAAAACCCATGGTATCTGCAAGCTGTTGCATTATGAACTCTGTTGGTTTTGTAACTTGCCTAGTTTCTGCAGCCTCAGTTGCAAGTAGGCACATTCCACTTCCAAGTTTAATGCCAAGTCCTGACACAGTAGCTACTTGTGTATTTTGCAGTATCTACTTCCATCATAGACAAATCCATCCTTAAACACCTTGGAAACATGGGTAAGAAGAAAGTTTGATATCTGCTATCTTTTGCACATGATCTTGATATAGTTTTTAGAACACAATGAACAATATAAAACTTCAAGGAGTAAACATTCCCCCTAAACCAGTCATATTGTCATCGTTCCATGCCTGAAGGGAACATGATGAGTCAGGTCAGGCATTCAAAGGATTTAAATCCCTTAAGTCTTGTGCAAAATTCCCTAAATCACAATTTTGGATTTACTTAGCCCTAAAGAAAAATGTGTCCACAGCTATTATAAAAATGCTTAGAGCAAGATTTTGAAGATGAAGCTGAGATTTTCAAATGCCTATCTGAATCTCTAAAACTCTGTAGCTTCAAAGAAAAAAACAGCAGGTTGAGCTCCCTGCTCTTTGTACCAAGGCTGCAGTCAGGGGTGGTAAAGATCTGAAAACACTTAGAACAAAAACCTGGTTGTAAACAAAGCCTGAAAAGCAAGTGAGAGTCAAAGGGAGGCATGTCAAACGAAGTTCTGAACAGTTAATCTGAAGCAATCTTCAAACTGACATCTTGTCGTGTTTGGACAATAATATTTCAGGGAGAATGGGCAGCTATGCTTAAACAACCTTGTGTCAATCCAAAGAAAACTAAGGTACTGAGGGAAAGGGAGAAGTATAGTGAATGAGGACAACAGGTTTTCACTTTGAATTTCACCTCCTGACTTTCTGAGATTGTATGAGATCAGACGTACTGGCATTCCCTGCTCAAATCAGTAAGACAGGGTTTTCACAGGTAAAAATTCAACAGGCTCTGCATTCTGCCATACTGTACCACATTTTGATATGATACCTGACTTCAACAAGACTCTGGATGTTTGCCCACAGATTAAAGATTATATAAATGACACAGTTGTCACAAGAATAAAAATAAAGCAGAACCATTAAAATAATGACACCCTCCGTGTTGCCCATGTTCCCAAAGCAACAGATTTTCTTTTTGTCATTTATTTAATTAATTACATTTTATATGATCTTCTCTCTTTATTCTTGTTGAAATAAGAAAAAAGATGTAGTTATCTTATAAATAAAGTATGTGCCTTGAATGTGCCAAACAACTCACATGGCAGTAACTGTTTTAACTATATGACTTTTGCATTCTGGCAGCTCACACACAGAAACAGAGGCATTTCCCCTCCCTTTAGTGTACTGCCAACTCCTTTGTGAGCCATTACATTTGTGACAGTATTTCTTAATGTTATAAAAACAATCAACTGTTAAAAGTTACTGCTGAGAGCTTGATTAACACTGGAAATTTCTCAGCAATATATACAAGCTGTAGTCTCAGATGGATTCTCCCCTTATCCCCTTTTGAAGTGTTTATAACCTGATATACTGCCTGTCTTGAAAAGCATATTTTCCTCTTCTTTTTGCACATACTTTTCCAGATCTAGTATTGCACATTGATAAATAAGCCAGAACTATACTAGTGACTTTAGCAGATCTCTAATTTAATGCTGAAGAACAATTTGAGATCCACTTTTAAAACTTTTATGCTCATAAGAGTCCAAGTTTTGCAGCTTTTCCAGCTATTTTTGCCATTAAAGTTTTTCAGCAAAGCCGTTCATTAGTTTTGTTTTCCTCAAGGGTGCTACAAAACTCTGTATTCCCTTTCACCTACAGATAAAGATAAAAACAATAGAAAAAATACTACTGGATCTTATCGTTAAAACACACACAGAGGACTTGTGCCATTTATTCTATTACATTTTATTTTTCCATTCTTTGAATGAAAATGCATGGGGCAAAGTTCTTTTAAAGACACCTTGTGTCCCTCTCCCTACAATCTCTACCATTTTTCCCCCTCTTAGTTTTAAAAAGAACTCTAGATTAACAGTCAATGAGAAAGAAAACAAAGTGGGAAATCAGGGCTATTTACAAACCAGTAGCCACATCAACAGAGTGCTTGGTATTCAGGATCATCATATGTCAGTAAAGACCTCTTATTTTAAAACTATCAGGAATCAACACAAAGGCCTCCAACGACTTGCAACAAAATCATAGGGTCAAGACAATTTTTTTCTGCATCTGGCTACAGAACAGGAGTGATATTGTGAGCCTGACTGTGCATACAATGCAATATGACATTAGAAACTGAATTAAAGCAACATTGGTTCATGTTCCTTGCATGCAAATGGACTACTTTGTAACCGAATTCAAGCTGCCTTGGGTATTTCATATTTAAATAATTAAGTATTAAAAATGCCTGGCTCACAGAGAGTACTTCTCTTCCATTTCCCAGGCCACTTCCACTCACATGAAATGAGATCTGTGCTTTACCTTGTGTTAAAGAGAGCTGCCTTCACCGCGATAGAGATTGCATCAAAGATGTTCCCACCACATTCCAATACCTGGGGAAGAAAAGAAGAATCTCTTTAAAAGAAAATCAGGCTAGTGCCTTTAAAGGAAGTCTTCATTTTACTTTAACATGAAAAGGAAGAAAATTAATAACCAGAACAGTTTTTTAAAAAACAGAGTTGTCTTTAAAGTCTATCTATGAAAAGAACCAGATAGGAAATTAAGATTTCAGCTAACTGCATTATACATGCAAAATAGAAGAGTTAATGCACTTCATAATAAAATTAATGATAAAATTTAATAATGGAAGCCGAAATGAAACCACTACTGTTCTTAATCTTCTTGCGCTAAGGCTCTGAACTAGAGTATAACCAGAATACTCTTTATAAACTCACCTCATTCATTCTTTAATGTTAAATCAAGCCAATCCATTTTCTATACTTTATTTCAAAGAGGAGTCTTTTTTTAAATATCAGCTGAACAAAACCAATTGGTACAATTGCTTTCAAAGAAGCAATGCCAATTGTCACCCAGAACACAGTGTGAAAAGGCAGTCATAGAAGGAACAGTTATGAAGGCACACCGTGATTTATTCTCGTGATGGAAAAGAGTCATCGTCAGGTTTGTCCTGCAGCTAAAAGTTATCTAAGGAAATCCTGATGTCCAATTCAAACAACAGCATAATCAACAAGTGTGTGGAGGGAGTTTAGTGTAGCTTCTTCCCATAAAGACTGGGAGAACAGCCAAAGAGAACAGTAGCTGTGCATACTAGGTAAAAAAGCAGGACTCCCATAACCACTAATACCTTCTGTAGGCTGCCAGACAACTCAGATCTGTATTTGGCCATGGCCTATTGTTAGTTCTCTGACAATCTCCACTCTCAGCTGCCAGTACTATTCTTTGAGAACACACACACACAGAGCAAGCATTTGAAACTATTTCAGCAAGAACATATGGATGCTTCTCCATGACATCAATCTATGCTGTATGATGAGAGCAAAACAAGTCTTGCAACACTGATTGCATTGATTGTTCCTCAAGATCTATTTAAAAATGAGATAAACTCCCATACTGGGAGCAAATCATAAATCAGATATTCTATAAAGACAGTTTCTTTTTATGAAGACAGACTGGATAGTGTAAAAGGAATAACAAAGAGTTGGGATAGAAAGCTAAATGCAAAGGTGATCAGATTATGTTCTTTGCAAACAGATGCTGGATACAGAGAGGTTAACTTGCCACTTTCAGTCATTATTGGATTTTACTGGATAACACAATAAGCCCCACAATACCTTTGTTATTAAAACACAATAATGGGATGTGCCTGCACTGTTGCTAGGGTTGTGTTCAGGCTGCTATTCTAAAGCCTTATCTGTATTACAGTGGTGCCTACAGGCTGGGAATAGCCTGTATCAAGCATGGTGCAACAATTCCTCCACAGTGAAATGAACCATCTTCTCAGCTGAAGCACCTTGTACTGAGATTCCCCCATTTACTTTTTTAGGACTAGGAAATTCTGCACAGCTGTGAGTTATGGGAAGCAAAGGAGTCTCTAGAAAGGACTGCTTTTAACTTACTGGCATGCAAATAAAAAAGTTACTGGCAAAAACTGATGAAACATTGTAGACCTTGCCTTATTCAAAGAAGCTTTTCCCTCAAAAGGAGAGATTCCTAACTTCTGTTTTCATTTTTTTCCAAACTAGGGGTGGGGGAATAGAAAACATGAGGAAATCCTCTGAGAGGTGCTCAGTAGTGAATTGCTAAAATTTCAACAGAACTAATGCACCCCCTCCTCCCGCAGACACACAATCTACTGCGACTGAGTAGGAAAACAGAAGAGATTGCACACCCTGATTCTCCTTGCTCAGCACAGCAGCCTGCTGGGGCAAATTATGTGGAGAAGGCTATACATGTATCAAAAACACACTCAAAAGCTAAAGGGTAAGAACAGGCTTACAGTTTTGCAGTACTGTGTATCTACACACTCACAAGATGCTGTTTGGAAGGGGATGCCCTTATAGGATTGAGATTTAAAAGGCCAAGGTATACATTCTGGACCTTAGACACATATTTCTGTGTGTCCATAGGTCTGCATCTTTGTGCTGTGTATGGTTGAAGTTAGTTTCTTTCCAGTCTGACTGTACACAATTCTAACATGTTCCAAGTATACCGACCACTAGAAAATATTGGAGAGATGCTTTTAATCAATAAGCTGCATGACTCTGCAAAACACACTATTTCTTTTTTGAGCTTGCATATGTCAAATTTTGTTTACACACAGGAGCTGAATACAGATGCTTCAATCAAAGTGCACACAGGTAAATTACACAGCAATGGAGTATTTCCAGGATTGTAAATTCTTCCTGGGTTTTTGTCTTTCAGAATGACAGTACCTTCCCACCTGACCACAAGGTACCAGTATTTTCAGGCTTACAACAGATTTAAGGCTTATTTTCCCTCCAACTTAACTACATAAACACCAGAGTAAACAACTTCCAGGAATTCTGAAGGAAAATATCACCCAAAGGACTCTCAATGAGCATTGTTATTATAGTTAGAATCTCTCTCCCTCAACTGATGAATAATATGAGCTGCACCTCATATTAGCCCAAGTATCATACTTCCACATGTACCATTGAAGTAGAATTCTGTAGGAATGATACAGTAAGAGCAGCTTCAGGAAGATCTGTAGGTATCCAGCACCTAAAACAAGTATACTCTATCACATGTGATATACATGGCTTCCATTTGGAAAAGGAAATATCAGAAATACCTCAAAAATGTGAAAGTACAAAGGCCTAGGGTGGAAAAAAAAAGAAGGGGGACACACAATAAGAGACAAATGTTAATAGAATCTTGTTCTAACTGTACCAGCAGCTCTTCCATGGCTCACACATTAAAGCCCTGCAGAATAGACATTAGAAAGACAAGTTTAGTCGTAATTATGAACCTGCAACAGGTTCTTTATTGGCACTGTAAAAAAAGCTAAATGGAAAATTCCTCAAACATCACAGGCCCTGATGTTTGCAGTTCGGGTACAACTAGTAGCATAAAAAGACCAAGGCTGTTTTTCTCTGTAGCTGTGGGCAATCAACAAACCTGTCCAGAAGGAAACAAATAACGACCAGTTACATGTCATACAGAAGCTATACGGAACTACTCCTGCAGCAGTCAGCTTTATGAAAGTCTTTGTTTATGCAGTGTTAAGCAGTAAATTGCTTAAATAAGCACAGCATTTAATATTCTGTACCTCTGCCTGTAATTGCCTAGTAACTAAATGCCCTAGTGTGATTTTGCAGAACTAGCACTTTATTCTCTATTAAACTATGCCAAGCCCCAGTAAGCTGGTGACAAGCTGTTAAAGCACTCAGCAGTGGTACATATTTGATCATTCTGTATGTGGCCTGTTGCAGTATATACCATACCTACTATAATTAGGCTAATGCTACAGCTTTTTAAACACCTTACAGAATTTTCATGTTTATTTAGGTCGTAGTCTAAATGTTCCTTTTTTGTTTAACAAAACTTTGTATTTAATTTTTCTGGCCATATGGATTAACATTTTTCAAATCACTTTATAGACACTAATGGATTCTTGTGTGTAAGATCCCTCAACATATTTTCACTTCCAGATTTGATAAACAGAAACTCAACTTTTGACCAATAAGAACTGGAAATAATGTTCAGAAGAGTCTGACTTGCAGACTTCTATTCAATTCCCATGACAGCGTCCTTTAAATACAGCATAGTTTGGAAATGGAGCAGGGGCATGCATGAGATCTGTATGCATAAAATTCAGTTTCCATTTTTTAATAGGAACAAATATTCAGCTTATCTTCTACATTAAATACATGTATGCAACTTTCATCAGAAAGTATCTAGGTCAAACGTAACTTTTTCCAGAAAAGTTCCTATTCTACTTTACTGAATTAGTACTGATAACAGTGTGAAGAAGCAGACAGGATGGACAGTTATGTTAGGGCTAACTTACATCTACACTAAACTTACATTCATTAAAACAATAAATTTGCTGCTATGTCTACCTTAATAAAACATTTACCCTCTTTAGTGGCAATTTCCTTGTCAGTACAAGGTCACTGATTTTTATCTGAGACAGATTTGGAGTATTCAGTGTTTTATATGCTCTGCAGTGGAGCAGCAGCATCAAGAAGAATAGAAAAAAAGCTGGAAGTAGTGATTAACTGTTATAAGTAGGTTCACAAGAAAATGGACATCCACGCTGTGAAGCATTATATCACAATATGGGAAGATTTATGTGAAAATACAAAAGGTTACGCTAAGTCAGTCACTGCCTTGAAAAACATCCTTGAATCTTAGTTTTCATTTCCTTACTTACCAATACATCAATATAGAGAACCCAGCAGTGCTCCCTGGGATTAATACAAAGTGATTTCAAGTCTACACTGTTCTCGCAGCTAAATACTCTGTAGAGTGTATTTGCTATATCTATGCCAAGCTCTTCTCCTCCTCGGCCTTCAAATTCAGGAGTAGCACTTGAAGAACTAGATAAAGAGAAAAAAAATACTTTCACTTCTGAAGCAGTCAATACCCAAGGAACATTTCTTAATTATAAAGTATTAAAATCATCTATGGATTTATTTATATAATAATAAGCACCATATCTAAAAATAAATTATTTACGTTTTGCATAAGAAAACACCTTGATGCACATAATATCCCGACATTTTGCTACAAATACTGATGCTAATTAAATGACACAACTATCTTCAGTTCCCAAGTTACAACATTAAAGTCAGTGAATTCTGTTAGGGATTATTTCTTAAGCACTGTCATCTTCCATCACCTCAACCTTTCACAAAATAAAAAAGTGAGAGAAATCTGTACCAAGTTCAGAACAGCTAACAAGACTGCCTGGTAAGAGTTGAATGTTAAATTATTAAGAGAGTGGCTGAGAAAGATGTGATGATATGGCAAGTAAAATACATATTTCTTTTCAAGTAACAAGACTGCCTGACCTTAATTGGTTATTTCTTTACTGAATGTACTCTCTGCTATCAAGCCCCTTACAGAAAGCAGCTCATTATTGTCAGCAGCTGCAGCTTATGGAGAAGAGCAACTGAAGAACATATTTTCCTGAAGGGATCTGACAGAAGTGTGTGGTCTTCACTTCCCTGATTCCAATATAACAAACTTCATTTATGAGCAGTCATGCAAGAAAGTCCTTGGGTGCCAGGGCCTCATAGAGAGCTCAGAACAGATTTCTAACAATAAATGAAAACAGGCCTACAACAAAAAAAAAAAAGAACAAAAAAAAGAACACCAGAACAAACCAACCAACCAAAAGACCACAAACAAATAAATCCCAAACAAAATGCCTCACCTCCAAAACACAATAAAATAGAAATGTCCAGAGATGCATATACTGCAAAATAATGAACAAAGATTCTGAACCCAACCCCTGACTTACAGCGAGGGCAAGAGTATCCTCAAGCACTGCACCCACAGCACACACTGCAGATCTTACTTTATAATAAACGAGTCAGACCTCACCCAAATTAATCTCTCATTGCAAAACATAGGAAAGGAAGTGGTTCCACAGAAGTGGTTCTGGTATGTTTGAAATCTGTAACAGCAAAGCCATGTATTATCCTGGCTGGGCACCTCCCAATGCTAATTTCTAGTGCGTGTTCTGTGTCTGTATGATGATACAAAATCTTAGCACTTCTAACAAGGACACCAGGAGTACAGACATACAGCAGAAAACTAAGTATTGTAATATGATCCCTTCACCTTTAAAAAAAAAACAACTAAAGATTTGCATTATCTAGGCATTAACTTAACCCTCAAGTAAGCTGTATCAACAATACTGCAGAACCTCTACTTTCACCTCCTATTATTCTTACCTATAAGAATTACCTCACAGTGATTCTCCAAACTTGTTGTTTTGCAAAGTTGATAAAAACTCAGAATGCCAGGAAGAGCTACTGTATTTTATAGAAGTTAATTCCTGTTACTATAAACAAACAGCACTATACATGCTTAAAAAAACCAAAGAAAAACATTACTGCCAATTAAGCACTGACCTGTGCTTCCACAATACATTTGCCAGACGAATAAGCACTGCAAGCGTGACAAAGTATAATTCACAGTTGCATTAATATTAGATGCCAATTTTATACGATAGGATCATATCTAAGTATAACTCAGTGCTGAGTCAGGTCTCCAGGTTGTATTACACAAGCACTTATCCATGGAAGCAGCTTTTATGCAAGTTAACTAGATCATTCTATTTAAAGCATTATGATCCCTATGATAGGCTGAAAATAATTGCGCAAAATTCAATCTATGCCTCATTATTATTTACAAAGTTTTATCAAATGTATTTTTTTAAGTGGATGCTTTCTTTGACAGTCAGTAGGAAGAACATAAGACTCAATTGCAATATCATTGTACATTACATTGCATCTTAATTCCATTATTATTTTAACACTTCAGTTTCTTCCAATCGAAGTGAAATGAAGAAGTTAGCAGGGTACTATTATAACATCTATAAGGTAAATACTGCCACCTAATGCCCACAAAGTATTGCAGTATTTACACTGGGCTAAATTTGAAAAGGGCTTGTCTAACACCCTTTCAAAGGAAAATGCCAAAAACCATTTTTTATGGCACATGCAAAGACCACAGACTCCCAAACAAGACTATCAAAATCATTTCAGTGTCACATTGCATAACAATCAAGACTCCTCCTAACGCATACTATCTCTATCATAGATCTCTACTGCATTTCACAACTCTTCCTGTTACCAGTCAAAACCTCTCTCTCACACTAGTTAAGCACTTTCTACCCACTGCTTGAGCCATGAATATTCTATAATCTACAGATGTCCAGACTTGGGCAAATTTATTCCTAATTAAACAAACAATCTAATTCATTCAAGGAATTCAGATGTCTACTTCTTTTGGTGTTATTTCTTACAGTTTGACAATGATAAATCAGAACAGCCCCAAAATTCAAATGTGAGAAAAGCAGATATAGCAGTGTTTCCACATCAATGGCCAGGATGAATGTTTTCTCCAGTGATGGTGGGCAGTGATGATACTACATAAGACATGGACTTATTCTATGCTAATTAATTTCTCGTATCACAAATCAGTGCCCCAAAAATCATCCTTTATGGAAACTCACATTAAAGACTGTCTCAAAATGGGACTAAGTGTGCTTCTCAGATTTTAGGTACAGCACTCAAGAGCAGAATAAAGAGAAATAGAATTTTGAGGCAGAGAATTATATACGTGATCCAGCAAGTGATTATTTTCATCAGTAAAAGAAACTATGAAGGTTTCGGGAAATTAGCATTTTAACATAGTAATCACTGCAGTCTGAGTTTTTATAATCTGTTTCAACAACATAAAAGCCAAGTAGAACATGCAGGAACTTCACCAGTGTATCAAATTATGCTCAGTTACTACCACCCAGTGGCAGTCTGGAAAAGCATCAGGGTACTGACAGCTCACTTCCCTTTACAGGAAACAAGCAGCCTCCACTGCACATTTTGTCTTTTGGAGCTTTCTGGAGGCTAGAGAACACCTTTACTGCAGCATAAACATGTGAGAAGGCCGTGCTGTCACAGAAATTAACTACCTACTGTCTGAGCTGACAAGATCCGTCTCACACAGTATTGATGCACATCTCCCTCCCATCTTATGAAACAGAGATTAAGTCAGAAAATGCAACCTAGCATTAATCTAAAGAGTTCAAGTTTTTCTAACATGTATTTACATATGCAAGAAGTGTCACAGAATTGCACATGGACACAGACCACTTGTAAGGAAACACCCCTGCTGCCTGTGGACTTTCTTCATATAGAAACCATGAGAAAAAATAATGCATGCACTATTTAACATATTTCAAACAAGAGTTTTATAAAGCAGTCACACTCAGACCCTCCCTATAGAAAAAATAATGCATGCACTATTTAGCATATTTCAAACAAGAGTTTTTTAAAGCAGTCACACTCAGACCCTCCCTAACAGCAGGACCACATTCAAGACCGTCTTCCCATCTGATATTTTTTGAACAGTAATCACAGACAAAACACTAATTCATAGGCAAGTCTTTCCCTCAGCAAAGCATAAGTTTCCAGTTAATACATCGCGATGTACAGAGGCAGCCTTAGACAATGCTGCACAACGTGATGTACAAATGTCAAGGCAGATATAGCCAGTTAGGTCAGAAAGATTATCAGAGATACACTTACTCAGTAGCTCTCATACCTTAGCTTTACCAATGGTATATTGGTTTAATGTCAGAGCAGCAACATTTTTTGTTTTTAATAAAAACAAAAAGAAAGGTCACTCGCAAAACACCTAACTTGGCAGCGCCAAGGCTTTTATGAGAGGTTTCTAAAGCACACTGCTTCATAAAGAACAAGTTTAAGAAGTCTGCAGCACATCGATATTGTCACTGAGATGTCACTATGCTACCTCAGAGCAACCCTCAGGATTTTTCTAGCTTCCTTCATAATTTAAGCACTATGAAGACTGTAAGGATAAACAATAGTTCATTTGTGGCAAAAAAGCAAGGAATATGATTAAAAACAAATAAGATAACTGAATTTTCTATGTAACTTTTGCATCTGAAGTTTACACTGGGGTTTTTTCTTTCTTTAAGCAAATGGATTTGCACAAAACACACTTCAAACTTTTTCCACTGCTTTCATAGACAAAGCAAGCAAACCTTTACGTACAGTTAAAGAATAATCTGTATCAGTCAATTCTTTTCTTCTGGAACACTTACTTTTTTTGAAAGAGATTTTCTCTATTCTGCCATTGTAAAAACAGCCACTGACATTGCAGTCATGAAGTCGTGTTAAGTGCATGTGTAATCCAACCATTACTCTTTGCAATCTGCAGTGATGCTATGCAATTTGGGATTGTTTTATTTAACCTGATTTCATTCTCTAACTCCTATTGATTTGCTTATTTTGGATCTGCAGAACGAGTAGAAAGTTTCTGAACACTCACCCCTACAGAAACAATAAAATAACTAGTCTCTACTACTTAGACCCCTACAGGAGGTTAGCGGAATGAAGGTATAAACTTCTGAAGAATGGTAAAATCTGATTAGTCATTTACTCTAAATATTCGATCAATTTCCTTATTTTCCCAAATACTAACCAGTCAACAAAGAATTCCAGGTAACCTTCATCTGGTTTCTCCAACTTCGGTGTCCCCATTTCAGCTTTTATACCTACCAAGATATCAGTGTGCCCCTGTTAAAACAAAAACATATCACACAACAGGAATTGTAGTCACAGAACTACTTGTTTAATTTGAATGTCTACAGTAAGCTGCCATTTCCGCCTTCCAGTTATCTGATCATTCTATCAGAGATAATGTAAACCCACATTTTAAAATGTTTTTTAAATGCTTTTTTAAAAAAGAAAGGTTTTAGAAGGACAATGTTAAGTCTAAGAAGATTCTTCAAATAATTACCATACATACTAGCTTTCTCTAGGTTAAAAATACACTCAATATCCAAGAATACTTCTGTCATTTTGGTCCTGGAAACAGCTCTTCCTGCAGAACCTTTATAATACTGCACATGCCAGAAGTAATTTTGCTTCCCTCTAAAGTAATAAACTATTTTTTTTCTAAGGATTAGGCACAACAGCAATTGCAGCTTCCAAGATTAAATGTTAGGTAAATTCAGACCAAAGGCTGTCCAGGTACTTCACAGTAAATCCAGCTCTGCTTGATTAATTTTTTTCATCATGATGATGGTGGTTAAGCCAGCCAAACAGAATTATATATCCTGCAATTATTTCCTTAACCCATAGTTTCCATTACTGTTATACACAGACACAAAAATACCTTTGGCTTACCTTAAAACTAGTCACATAAACAAGAAATTTCATCAGCAAGGTACATGATCCCTAAAAGATTTACCTACCAGCTTTACTCTTGCAGATCCACTTGTGTTTGACACAACATCTGTTTCTACTTCTGCACATCTGTAGTCTTCACAGCCACGACCGTCTACCCGAAGGTCCTCCTAAGCATGACAATCAATATATTGTTCTTAATGGAACCAGTAATGAAAAGTTAAAAAAACCAAACAAGTATACCAAACACAGCAGTAAAAAAGCTATAAAAGGAAAAGCTCATAGTTTCATCATGAACTTAAGTCACTTAAGAGTACAACAGAACCAATGGCACTTTTCCATTTATATCTCACTTCTCTAGAGCTTGCAACAAGCTCTCTGCAGGCAGACAGAAACTCCTGCTCTAAGTCCCTCCAATTCAAAGCTTCAGAACTGCAAAGGTCTTGGCTTTAAATGGTACTTTATTTACGACAACCCAGGCCTTTCCTGGGACACAAAGTTCTGTACTTCTATATCAGTAATTAGGACCCCCAAGACAAAAAATAACCCACCAGCCTTCCAAATGCTTTCACCTGTTTTTACTTCAAAACAAGGTATTATGCATCCTCTGACAATATATGGCTCAAACACATAAAACCAGGTTGATTTTCAGTAAAATACAATCCTTTTATCTTTGGCATTTCTCTCCACAAACCCTTCACTTTTCCTCCTTGGTCCACTCATCTTCCTTAGCTCAGTGACAGGCTAAAGCTTGGGAAACAGCAAAAACTCGGGAAGGAAAAGGGAAGGGGAGGGGAAGGAAAAGGGGAGGGGAAGGAAAAGGGAAAGGGAAGGAAAAGAGGGGGAAGGAAAAGGGAAAGGGAAAGAAAAGTGAGGGAAGGAAAAGGGGAAGAGAAAGAAGGGGGGGAAGAAAATGGGAGGGGAAGGAAAAGGGGAAGGTAAAGGGGAAAGAAACAAATCCAAGTCCTGCTCTCAGCCTGCTTTCCGTTCTGAGTTTATCCAACTCTCCATGCCTCTTTGTCCAGTCAAGTGGGCAGAGCATTTCTGGCTGTGCCTATTTGAGCAGGCAGTGTGATGCAGTAGGAGCAAACCCCAAGAGTGAGGGATGTTTTGGAGGTTTCAGCTTGGGCTAGCTCTGGTCTGGTCCCATTGGTCAGCTACATATCTGTTAGCAGTCAGAGCAGAGCCGATGC